TTACACTCTAAAAGGTACACAAATCTATCGTTATTTCCTTACAGAAAATCTGAGCACTTTTTAGATCTTACATAAATCAATACCTAATTTTGTCTGGTCACTGCAGCCCCGCCTGGACTAACGGCAAAAGATCCGACGTGGATTGGTGCATGGTGGATGGGATATTTATTCATTGGTCTTATCCTCATTGTGCCGTCAATTACATTATATTTTTTCCCGACCAGGTGACCGTCTTCAAACCTGATAATTCAAAATGAGCTTTCGAAAAAAAAATAATGCACAAATTTCATGCACGCAAATGTACATTGTTAAGATAAAGCACTAAAGTGAATTAGCCAGTTTGCTGCATTTCCTCGGAAAGTATTATCCGGATGAGCAGCATACAGAGTATCACTACCATGATATGAAAAAGTAAAATTTGGTGGACAGAGTAAATTTCTCACGTGACCAATAACTAGATTTGTTGCATTTTCAATGATTTTGACGAGTGTCGAGTAAAGAGGCTGTACTATTCTTTTCGCACTCTTCTTAAGCGTGCTACTGATAAAACCTTTCGACGGATAACGCAGTTTCAAAATTCTATTTGCTAAAAAGCCTAATGATTTTGTCCTTCGATAAGGCTAGAGGTCATTGAGTATCAGTTCAGGGCTAAATCTGCGAAAACATCGCAGCCTATTGCTGCTGTAAATGGTGCAATCAGACTGGAGCGGAAGGAAGAAAAAGCTTTATCGATATTCGATAAATATCAGAATCATAATGACCACAAAGAACAATCTGTGCGAGACCAGTTTACAGGTCGGCATTCGCTGAATTTGACTTTCATCGTAGCATTGCTATGGTAAATGCAGTCTTTTCCTTAAGATACTCCACCTTCCGATAACCAGCGATCTAGGGTGAAGAGCTGCTTGTAAATACTCGTTTTTCTGGAAACCTTTTGTCAACTAACAGTAAGAGCAGCAGTGGATTTTGCGTTTTTTCGATTCTAAAAATCTTTAGCCACACAAACGTATAGCTGACAAAGTCTTAACTAAGTATCTTTCATTATCATTGACTGATTCTACTATTCCAGCTTTTCGTAAGGCATATATACAAATCTTACATTCCAAAGTATTCGTTGGTATTCTGGCCGGTCGAGTTGTTGATCTTTTTGCTTTTCGCGGCTACATGGTTTTCTTACCAAAATACCTCGAAAATCAGTTTGGCTTACCGCAGTATAGCGTGCATATGTTCATGGGTTAGTTACCATTATTTTTTATCAAGTCATTTGTCAGTTTTCTTGCCAGGAATTTAAATAAGCATTTTGTCTAAAAGAACAGATAAAACTAACTGCTTTAATCGTCATGAAATCATGCAAGAAAAGTAAGACATATGCACAAAAATATAAAATCATGTTAAAAAATGTTTCGGCTTATCAAGTCATAAAAATGCCATTTAGTATCACAGCTGGGCCTCATCAGCGCAACGATTTTGGTATTGATAAAATAAAAAAATAAAATAGAATAAATGAGCATAAAAGATTAGGTTGTAATTTCGAAGGACAAAAGGAAATTAAATTTCAATTTAATTTCCTTTGGGCTGCAAAGCAATGAGTTTGCCTGTGCGATATGCGTTTTTGCGCTAAGCATGCAGATCGCTAACAGAATAATTGGACCCTAACTGTAGTTCAACACTTGGACTTACACTGGCTCTGTTTTGACCTCTTCCCGCAAGCAAAGGGAAAGGACGTCAGCTGGGATTAAAGTGTTGCACTATGGGCCGCATGAACTTCTAGTATGCATGACTACTAGTTATGGGTTTTTGCCGTGCAGCGCTAGAGCGCTGCAACAGGCAGCAAAAACGCATATTGCAACGACCCTGT